GAAAGTGCAACTTCTTGATGTTCTCGTAGACTGTTGGTGTGTTACGTTGTCTACAAGTGCCACTTCTACTACCGGCAAATATGACAACCTCGGTAACCTCCCAACAACCATGGAAACCATGGAATACGGAATATTAACCTCCAACACAATACAACCACCGCGGAGACCAGGGTTCGGTCCCGGGTCTGGTCAAGTGGGATTTGTGGTGGACAAAGTGGCGCTGGGGCGGGTTTCCTCCGAGTACTTCGGTTTCCCCTGCAAATCTTCATTCCAACAAATTATTCATCATCATAATCACCCGGGGTAGGCTGCAATAGGCCAATCAGTGGCCGCCGTGCCGAGTGGACCCAGTTGGACTCCACCCCCAACTAAGCGAATTAAAAAAATATATATAAAATTGATACGTAAGAAAAATAAAAGAGACCAATGTACTGATTGTTAACAGTATACTCTCAGATTTAAGTTAAGGCTTATATTAAGAATCGCAGTGACACCGCTGTAATAGAATAAGATGTTTATAAGACTGCGCTACAGAAGGCCGGATGGGCATTGCCTAGGCCTTTCTTGTATTTAAAATAATTTTCCCCACAGTAAAAAAGATATATAAGACAGAGTAATCACACCAAAAATCAATATAGTGAACGCAAAGGCACTCTGAAAACATAAAATCACGAGCATACCAACGAAATATGTAAGTACACAAATACAACACTTACATACACAAGAAATACTGTACAATATAATAATTAAAGTAGAATTATATTAATTAAATGTGTGTTATACATTACAGAGAAACAGTCGCACTACATAAAAGACATGAAGAAGAAAACATCAAAAATTAAATTAAAGTAATAAAAGGAAATATATTCGATTAGTGCTCAATGCATTAGGATTCCTTACATAAGTGCTAACTGAAGATGGACTTATATGGACGAAACATGCAGCATTATAATAACGCATATATATTTTAATATTTTAAATAACATATTATGAATATAACAACCACTGTGTGGAATAAATTGTGAATCAGTGTTACTGATTGTTGCATTGGGCGGAACATTTGGTACACAATAAGTACAACCGCTCCTTTTAGAACAACGAGCAAAAAAGAGAAAGCAGTGAACAAATTTGGTAACAGTATCTACCTGATGATGAACATATAAGGTCGAAACATGTTGATGTGACATTTATAAATCAGTGACAAAAAGTATACCAGCAATCTACGAGCACGAAAAAAGCTGCAAGTTCAAAACTGTCCACACAAATTATACCGTTATCAGTGTAGCAACCTGCTGAAATGCAAGTACATTGTCACGTGTTAGTGACTAGACAACGGGTTCGAATTATTGATAAACGGATTTATTGGACTCTTATAAATCGTAAATACAAATAACTATAACCGTTTCACGTACGTATCTACACATTCTTCAAATCACTGTATTCTAACAACATAAAGTCATCTATGTTTTAGCCAGTCGTTTCCTGGTAACGGCTCTCGTGAATGGATACTCCCCTGATTCCTTACTCATGTCCTCAGTGGATGGCAGCTGCTCGCAACTAACACACTACTGAACTTTCAACTAACTACTAACCGACTTAAAGTCAAAGTCACATTACGACCTACGGTTAGTAGGCCAATTCTGGAGCCCAAGAACACATTTCGTTACTGTCAGGCAGTTCCGGTTTTGTCGAGATGTCCTCTGATGAGAGGACGGGTCTGTCCTTTGTCGCGGTCATAGTCAGCTGTACATGTCATTTATATTTACAATTTTACTCGTCGTCAAAGGGTCCGATTACTTGTGGTTATTTATAAATATCTAACTTAAGTATGTACGAGTATGTACACGCATGAGAGTGATGGACACGCTTCGAGTCTTGTCCCTTAGTCAGACTACACCGTTACAACATTTGATATATTTATCTGCATTCAGCTCGAAGCAGCGTTTAAAATATATTAAAAACAGAATGATACCAAGCTATTAATTAGTTTTATACATATAGAAATGACGCGAGCCATTCAAATCGATTCATCAGCATACCGTGATATTCAGTCTCTGCGATATCGTGGGCATTCAAATGGACACACTGACATGTGTACCGTTACTCGTTTGTTTTTTGTTCGCGGTTCACTTCTGGGCTTTATCACTTCGCCATTAAGCTTCCACATGCAGGGGTCATGACATGTGTATAGTATGGATTCCTGTTATGAATGAGGTAGCAGTTTCACTGGGAGTTGGAGGCTATAGTCCTTGATAACGTAGCTCAAAACATTCAACATCAGCAGTGCTACTGCTTATGACCTGGATCAAACAGCTTTAAGGGCGAAGGAACCCCAAGGAAACTGGCAACCGCAACGCAACCGCAATTTCCGAGAATTATTATTACCCTGAGTTGAAGACATGTTAACTGAATGGAGTAGAGCGAATTGAGGAAACGGTAATGTAATTTCCCCAATTTGCGGCGCTCCATTCGGTAACATGTGTTCAACTCAGGCTAATAACAATTCTCGGTAATTGCAGTTGCGTTGCGGTTGCCAGTTTCCTTGGTGTGCCCTCGCCCTAGCACTGATCCTACTATTACACTGCTGTCTTCTCAGTCTTCAACGACTGAAAAAATCGTTACTGCCAACGAAGACGTATGATATATTCAGTTTATTTTTTAGACGTGCATAGTTTCCTCAGCGCTTCTCATTAAGACATTTGTCAATTGGATTCCTGTCGCAAAGACTCAAGACCATAGCAGTTCAAATCCCAGCGTTTTGGAATCTCGTCTGACTTGTATTCAAGGGACCGACTGTCTTGAATGAGGTTCATCGTCATTTCCTCCGTTTGCATTCAGGACAATTCTTCGTTAGTAAGTTCAGATGGGATATGGCGGCTTCCAACGTCTTACCTTCCGAATAACTGTATGTATTCAAACACTTATGTCATGAAAAACTATCTGTGTTGGTCGGGATCGGTTGCGCTGACCACGTGACACACTCTATCCGCTAAAGTTAGCACTAACTTCGCCGACAAGCGGCGGTCGCTCGGTCTGTATAGTTCGCTTGGAGACTACAGGTCACGGAGTTTGTTGTTTTCTTTATTGGTTTCCTTAGGTTTATTTAAAGATAGAGTCAAATGGCGGGGTGATTGATGAATAATGATTGAAAAGGATTGGAAGGAAGTGGTAATGATCTAATCGAGTTACTATCCCAGAACCTCAATCAGGAAATCAGGTGTTGCGGCCAGGATATGAACGTTGCATCAACTTGTTCAATAACTACGTTGTTGACATAGCGTCGTTAAATAAGCTATAACTTAGTGATGCACGATGAATTTAGTGTAATGATTATCACATCGCAATTGGTGGGAGGCAATGCGGTGTAGGTTGCAAGTTACAGTTCAGTAACATGTCACCTGAAACTGACGCCTTTTCACACAATTCAAGTTTGACTGTGACCCACGTGATTTCAATTTGCCCGAAATAGCCAGTGGGTGAAATGTATTTGCTGTCGGATCACAAAATTTGTGTATACAGCGTCCAGCGGGTTGCAACCTTTGATTTTAGCGGCCTCTGCAGTGAGTAGTGGCAAATACTACACATTTCGTATCACTTCCGGCATGTGGACATGAATCTGGCGCGTGGTAGTATCGTGTTTGTGTTCTGTCTACCGCCTGCTAATCTGTCGTTTTGATTACGAAATTGGTAAAAATCCCTTTCCTACTCTTCCGGCAATACGAAAAATATAGCCCTGTGATCAACATTTTTTTCGCGTTCAACAGAAATCCTGAAACGTTGCAGCTTGATAGAAATTTAAAGCTGAAGGTTCATCAGGAGACTGAAGAATATTAAGTTTCACTGGTTCACCCCAGGTAAAAAGGTAAAGGTAAAGCTGTCCCTGTTAACAGACCTTGAATGCCCATAGGGTTGTGAGATGTCGAGGCTCCCACATTTTCACTAGAAAATCGGCTCACAGAAAGCGGTAATATTGTCAGCCTTATGTGCCGGCCGCCCTTTAGCCCCCAAGAATACTCCTGGTACTCATTTCTTTACACGCTGAGCCTACCCCAAGGCCATATTGCAGATGGAAGGATTAGGTCAACTGACAGATCCAATGACCTCATCGGGATTCGATTCCGCGATATTCCGACTTGTAGCATAGTGTTTCAACCAACTACACTACCGCGTGCCCAGGTTCAACCCAGGACGGATCCCAACTTGTCTGCAGTAACATATCGAATTTCACTGCATGACGGTAAATCGTAAATAAAACATAAATTTGAATTTGACATTCATAATAAGAAGCAAATTTAATGGTATTATGACATGATGAATGAAAAGGACAGCCATTTCTTAGTAACAGTTCGATAAACACATTCGCGGTAAAACGTATACACACGTAACAATAGAACTGTTGAAAGCAGTTTTTTCTATGCAGTCCCTGCCAAGGTTATGCAATGAGAACATTAACCATTTAGCCGTCAGAGAAAATAGGAGAGACTTAAATTTGGCGGTGGTCAAGCGTACGACCGTTCAAGTGACTAGACTACCGTTGTAACATGAAGTACATGAGTTAGGGCACGATCTGCTGTTCCGAAGCTAGATTGACAGAGGCCCTGTGCTTGCTGTACGTGTATGAGACATGCAAGTTGTGTTGTCAATTTCACTTAAATAGGTGAGCAGAAGCTGCGTTGAATATGACTTAATTTAAACGGGAAGACAGAAATAAAAATAGTTCCAATAAATAAATAAATCGTCATCAACCGAGCAGGCTGGTATAACGATAAAGCTCCAGATTTATTTTGGGGAGGTGTTCGTTTCGAATTTTGGCAGGTACATCGGATAACCTTACTGAGATCCTTCATGGTTTTTCTCAGTCTATCCAGACAAATGCTAATAGAAACCCGATTAGGACATGACCGCTTCCTTCCTGATCTTCACAGTTTATCCATAAACTACCCTCCCAAAACAAACCCTTCAAAATAAATATACAACTGTCAAATTATTAATTAACTCACGAAGGGAATGGCTCCTCTAGAAGTTTCGGATACAGCAGATGGAAACTCTGTGCCCTGTAACGAGTAAAGAGAAAACAATGAAATTCTACCTAATAAAAATCCCTTCTCTTTTGCTACAGCAAATCTAATTGTGGGCTTAAGAGACCGCGAATGTGCGTTGATAACTAATTCAAGAAGACTCGAAGGAAATACACTGTTCTTGTACGGAGAGAGAGGAGAAATGTTTGTGCTCTACCCCGTTTGAACATGCAAGTGGGGCCAGAGATTCCAGAAAGCAAGCGTTCTTGACTGGATCAGCTGACAAGACATTTCATGGTGAAGAAGGCTCGGTCTGCAGAGTTTTGATGTGTGCCCTCTGCAGTTATGACACTGGCTTGATAGCAGGTAACATGACGGTACAGAAACAGTGCACGTGTTCTTCAGACTCCACTAGTTTTTCAGCCACTCAACAATTTCCCTGCATTTTATGTAACCAGAAGATTCTTTACTATGTTCACAAGAGCCCTCCACTGCTCTTTTCTCAGCGAGATCAATCCGTTCCATACCACTCATCCCATCTCTCTGAGATCCATTTTAATATTATTCAGCCACCTATGTTTCAGTCTTCGTATTGGTCTTCTTTCGTTTTGGCTTTCCCGACAATATCCTACATGCAGTCCTCTTCCTCCCCGTTCGTGCTACATTCCCTGTCCATCCTATTATCATTGACTTCATCATTCTAATTATACTTGGAGAGGAGTAAACGTTATGAATCTCCTCACTGTGCAGTTTTCTTCAACCTCCTGTCACTTCATCCCTCTTCAATCCAAATATTCTCCTCAACGCTCCGTCCTCAAACACATTCAGTCCATGTGAGATTTGAGATTTTCATGGCGGTGATTGTGAAGAATACCGTCTTCTGGGATGTGGCGCCGTCTAGTCCTTGTGTGAACCGACGTTTCGGATGAATGTATGGCCTCCATCTGTAGATTACAGTCACTTGCTCATTTTCTTCACCCTGAAGATGGAGGCGATGTTTTCCTCCTCTGTTTACACAAGATCTACACGGCGCCATATTCCATAAGACGGCATTCTTCACCCTCAGTCCACGTTTCCTCCTTAATGTCAGAGACCAAGTGTCACCTCCATACGGGACAAAAGACAAAACTATGGTTCTGTATATTCTAATTTTTCGCGTTACTTAATGGACACTCTCAGTAATGCAGAATGTATAACGTGAAGAATGTATTGGAAGAGAAATGTGAAAGAAAACAGTCGTGGCTTAATTTAATGTAGAATACCAGCATTTTCCTGAATTGAAAGAGGAACATCGAGAAAAAATCTTGTCTCATTAGTCAGTGCCCCTGCTGCTTCTGTCGCTACGTACGGAACAGATAAACATTGAAATGAAAGCAAACGTTTTGTACAATGGCTGCGCGGTCTAAAACACGAAATGTATTCTCCCGTTCAAACACGGGGATCGTTCCAGTGAATGTCACTGGAGACATGATTGTCTGCGTTTTCTCCCTGTCCGTGTTCGTCTTGTGTACGTAGCGGTCTTTTGAAAGGCAGATCATCCGTCTAAGCAGACCTACCAACTATCTATAAGATCCGTATTTTCAGAATTAATTCTGAGGAGAAACAGTCCAGCGGACATAATATGTGAAGGTAGGAGGAGGACGAGGAACGTTTTGTACGAAAATAGTGAAAACAGATTAAGGCAGAGTAAGGAAAATAGATGCTAAAAAGGACTTATAAAACTTGGTGAATCAAAATTAACGCTCATACAAAATGAGCTTGTGCCCTTCGGCCTTCTATATTCCAGGAATGATTCTCAAAAACTAAATCTTTTAGATTTCTGGTATGTCTTTTGTAATGGTGTCCAGCCGTCACAAGGCTATTATTACCTACACAGAACAACACAGTACAACATATCACGGGAATATATTGCTAGTTATTGTCAGTGTCGGCCACGGTAGCCGAGCGGTCTAAGGCATGCACTGTCTTCGCTCGCTCGGAAGCTGGGATCGTGGGTTCGGATCTGTTTCCTGTGAGGTACGAACTGAATTCTTATATATTATTCTTATACACTGCCGGTTACGGTAGCCGAGCAGTCTAAGGCATGCACTGTCTTCGCTCGCTAGGAAAAAGGGATCATGGGTTCGAATCCCACTCAGGGCATGGATGTTAATTTGTGTGTGTGCGTTTTTCTGTGTTTGTGTACAGGTAGAGGCCTTGCGACGAGCTGATCACTCGCCCAAGGAGTCCTACCGAATGTGTAAGATCTAGAAAAACCGAAGTGAACGGAGAAGTTCATGAAGGTAGGCCTAGGCCCACTGGGGCTGTAGTGTCAAGGAGGAAAAAATTGTCAGTACTAATTACCATTAATTATGCCCATAAATAAAAAATAACTCTCTATCTATCTATCTGTCTGTCTATCGATCTATCTATGGCTCTTTATCTCTTGTGGACCTTGGCCGCTTTTTCAGATTCTTAATTTATACAGTCAGTAGGGCTCCTTTGACGGAGGTCAGCCCGTCGCAAGGCCGCACACGCAAACAAATATGCATACCTTGAGTGGGGTTCGAACCCACGATCACAGTGTTCGAGCAAGTGAAGATCGCGCGGCCACTGTGATCGGCAATAGCTCTGCAGTAAACAACGAAACTATGAAAGTGCAGCCTTGAGCATATAGGACAGTTTCATGGACACATTCGATACTGACTATAGAGGGGTTCCACTAATGATCTACGCATGCGCTGCAAGAGTTGCTTCGATCCGTGCGTCCCTCCCTCAACCCAAAATTTACTTTCCCAAAGCTCTCGATACCGCCCTCTTACAATTCCTTCGCCTCCTGCGGGCAGCCTGTTGATCTCGGCGTCTCCTGAGAGCCATTCCTATAGAGCTGGTGGGATCTGCCAGCTGACTTGTCTTGAGCGCGGGCATTCATCGGCCCTCTGCGGTTCTTTCGTATCCACAAACACTCGCTAAAAAATCCACTGCTTAGATGGACCCCCCTTCTACAGCTCTCACTACAACGCAGGGACATCAAGGCGATGCATTCTACATGAGGCTAACCAGCCCGATATTATCGCATGTCGCTCTGAATTGGTATCTGTTAAACAACTTCATGGAGCCCAGCCCTTCTTGGGAACTTGCCAGATGCTCAGCTGCTCAAGAATTCCCCAACATTTTATGAAATGTGAAGGTTCATTTCTTTGTTCACAAAAGCCCTCCATTAGTCCCCATCCTAAGCCAGATGAATCCAGCTCATTCGACCCCATTCTACATCTCCAAAATCCAGTTTAATATTATCTTACCACCCTAAGCGTAAGTCTTCCTAGTGGTTTCTTTCCTTCTGGCTTTCACATACAATCCTATATGCATTCCCATTTTCCCAATGTGTGCTATATGCCCTGTCCATCTCATCCTTCTGAACTTGATAATTCTAATTATATTTGGTGCAGAGCATAAGTTTCGAAGTCGGTCACGGTAGCCGGGCGGTCTAAGGCATGTACTGTCTTCGCTCGCTCGGAAGCCGGGATCGTGTGTTCGAATCCCACACAAGGCATGGATGTTTGGTATATGTATATTCTGTGTCGGTGTTGTCCCGTGTTTAGGTAGAGGCCTTGCGACGGACTGATCACTCGTCCAAGGAGTCCTACAGTCTGTAAAATGATCATGAAACTGAAAATCAGAGACCAGGGCCCAAGGAGGCTGTACAGCCAGTGGGAAAAAGAAAACTTTCGAAGCTCTTCATCTTGCAACACCCTCCGTCCTCATACCACTTCATTCATATTTGGTCCCAACATTGTGCTCAGCACCCTGATCTCAAATACTTTCAGGTGTATTGAACTACACTTTCATAAAATGTAACTGCACATAACTCTGCAAATTTTGTGGTTATGAACAGGTCTATCTTCTGAGATATAACAACGTGTAGTCCCAGAACAAAAACAATTTACAAATAAATGGTTTTAGACAGTCCCAGATCCAATTCAGAATGCTACTGAAATTGGTAAAAATGATCCGGTTCCCTCATAGAACCCAACGAAAATCAAGATCTCTCTGCTTAAGACTACATCATGTCCTCGAGAAAGCGGAGAAAATCAATCAGCTCCCACATATTTCATTTACTGAGCGTGCCGCTTTAGAGATTAAGCTACAGAATTGTATTTGATATGTGATCGGTTCGATTCTCGGCCGGGGCGTCAGCTTTTCTGGGACTCTTCGCATTTTTTCTCTGTGCTTCCAGGTGAATGCAGGGAAGTGCCTGAAGTATGCCAAGCCCGCTTCCTTCCACATCCTTTCCTATTCATCAGTCATTCCACTCTCCGACACTTTATAATTTCGTTACTGATAGATTGTTAAATAAACCTCCCCACAAACATGTTTACTTACTTACATATTTACTTATGGAGCTGAGCCTTTCTTGAGGAGCCGCCAATTCTGCAGCTACTCAAGAATTTCCCAGCATTTTATGGAACCTAAATGTTCAGTACCGTGTTCACAAGAGCCCTCCACTGGTCCCTATCCTGATCCAGATCAGTCCAATCCATACCATCCCATCCTATCTCTCTAAGATCCATTTTAATATTGTTCACTCACCTACGCCTTGGTCTTCCCTGTGGTCTCTTTCCATCTGGCTTTCCCACCAATATCCTATACGCATTCCGCTTCTCTCCCATTCGTGCTACATGCCCTGCCAACCTCGTCCTCCTTGATTTCATCATTCTAATTATACTTGGAGAAGAGTAAAAGTTGTGAAATTCCTACAAACAAGTTTACATTCATTAATACTGGAAGACAGTAACAACTTTTTTCACAGTGTTGACTATGAAGTTTTTCTGGTATATAAATTTGTGTGGTTCTGTGAAATTCAACCGAAGTTTCTGAGGAAAATATCGCATCCATCTCCAATATCAAAAAATCAGGGAAGCAAGACTCTGGTGCTCTGCTTCCTGCCTACTTCATCTTGCTTTCTTTCTTCGTCTCCTCTTCTACCCTGAAGACAGAAGTGACATATTCCTCCGAAACGTAGATTAACTTCGGCCGTGTCACAGTTCAGGCGGTTA